GTGTGTGTGTGTGAGAGAGAGAGAGAGAGAGAGAGAGAGAGAGAGATTACGGGGTGGAGATCCCGCTAGCAAAGAGATTGGATTACTCGCCTTCACATCTAGTGTTTAATGCAGAGATGGAGAAATCACGAGAAATCACGATTAGAAATGGAAATCGCCATTTTCTGCACCTCTCCATGAACACGTGCAGATTCAGGGACTAAATCCAATTCTCTTTGCTAGTGGGCCGGTACCAGAGTGTAACAGTAATATCCCAGTGGACCATTGTGACCCAAGGGCCCCTGGGTACGAGTAGAATTTCAGCCAGCCGGTAGTGAATAACCCATAACTTTTTTTTTGTTTTTTTTCCCCTTTTAAAAATTTTATTCATGAAAGCCCTCTCGCAACGCCTCTATCCCAGCGGTGGTAAGAGGAACCCATAGCTTGCCTCCGGCCCTACGTATGTCCATAATTTGAGTATCCCTTTACTAGTTGTCAGTTATATTCGCAATTTGGTGGTATCAACCTGGATCAACCTCACTCCTGGAGTCCTGGGCAGTGGGCATGCAAATAATTTCCTCCGCCTGCTCACCGGGTATGTATGCAAGTCGGGCGCTGGGACCAGGTATGGACACAATTCCCGTCTTTAAATGGGGCACAGAAATCTACAGATACAATTCCTCCCCCCGCCCCCCAAAAAAGACGAAAATTTGCTCTTAAAATTTACCCAACTTGTGGCGTGAACCTGACAATTAGTGGACGTATGCTGCGGCAAAAATAGTTGTATTAGTTAAGCAGAAATACTTAATATCCCCGTGAAATTACCTGCACAGCTACCTGAAAAGTCACCTGCCGAGATACCTTGACCATCTCCTGAAAAGGTGTGCTGACAGTTAACCTGCAGCCATGTCTAGTAAGGTCAGCGGCGGTAAGCAGTCTCTAATAGAGTACTTAGGTGACCTGCACTTGACACAGGGAACTGATTGAACTCAGGGAAATATGTTCTCTACCCTTAGCACCCTAGAGTCCCTAGACCTCGCCGACGTCATTTTGTTCTCCACCGCAGATGCGTTACTATAGGTGATAAAGTTGCAAGGGATATATCAGGTAAAGATTTTTCTATCACCTGGACTTCCTCATCTGGACTCGACCAATTGAGGGAGGATGCGGAGGTGCTCAGCGAGCTGCTAAAGACTGTGCAGTGTGCAGGTTCCTGATAACCCGCCCGCCACGGTAGTATTGCTCGTCCACGTCCCAGCAGCCAGAGTCTACCCACTGTACCCAGTGACCGCTGCCCGGAGCACTCACGTGACTTGAGCCCGGCCACCCGTGACCGGTGACCAGGGGAACGGCACTGCCAGGCTGCCAGCAGCCAAGTGATCAATTCGTGGGGCATTGGAGCGATCACCGCGCGAGGGCACAATCTAGCAAGTAGGGAGTTGAGTCCATCTGATAAC